TTGCATAATATATGTATGTGTGCTGTGTATATTTATTATGAATATATAAATACACACACATGCATGTATATATTTAAAATATATATATTTCATATAAATTATATGAATATAAATATTGACATGTATATGTATATTTTCAAAATGTATACTGTATGTGGTGAAAAATTTAAGGGGGTCTGAATACTTTCCGTACCCACTGTATATAAATATACACAGTACACACACATATATATTATGCAAACAAAAACTTTTATTTTGTATGTGATTAATCGTTTGACAGCATTAATATATATATATATTCAGAATAGAAGCATGAAAATGGCCTCGTGCTTCTGGACCTCAATTATATGATTTTTTTGCTAGTAACAAAAAAAAACATGTTCCTGAAATATGGATGTAATAATTATTGTGATCATAGTTATATCATTGTGTGCTTTATCACTTACCTGCCCGCCTGACTTGCCCCGGCCAAACTGTCTGCCCTCTTTAAAGCCTGCGTCCCAGTCTGTTCGGATGATCCGGTCATCCAGCCTCGTGCCATTAATAAACCTCATAGCATGCTCAGCATCAGCACGAGTGTAATACCTTCACATCAGTGGTTAAAGAACTGACACTAGTTTCACAGTCCCGGTGTCTGAAAGCAGAAGTCTTAGCCCAAATTCAAATGTGATCGTGATCAAAGGTGTTGGAGTTATTTTAAAGAACTAATATATCAAAGGAAATTAAATGACTTCATACTAATCTCAAACACTGATGAGGAATTATGCAAAAGTTGCAATTCCTAAAGAGATAGTTCCCCCCTTAAAATAATAGAAAATTTATGAATTCTAAACCCATTTTCACACATAGAGCACATCAAATATGGTAAACGGAAGCTCAAATATGCCGTTTTGATGGAATCGAATTTAAAGCAGGGACAGAAATCACTCAGGTTTAATTAAAAATATCTTCATTTGTCTTTTAAAACTGACCTAACAGGGCTCTACAGTGCGCCCGAAAACTACTGCGTGCGACTATGAACAATGTTTTAGGAGCACCAGTGCGACTGACCAGATCTTCATCATACTTGTGATTGCGCTCAGAGGAGCTTCAAAGCTTTCTACGTGTGTTTGCAGCATTGAGTAATGTATCACAGACATATCTCATGAATCCTTTCATAAGCAAAGTGTAGACAGGGTGTAAATAAGAGATTCATTGCGCAGTGTAGAGAGCTTTGTTGATTACAAGAAGTTAATATTAAGTGACTTACATTGTCTGATTTTGCTCTATTTCATCGTCGAAAATAGATTTAACCCTTGTGCGACCTTTTGGACATTTTTGTCCTTTTCAGTTTTGTTTTTTGATCATTTTGCCTGTGTTATTGCCAACTGCATACATTTTGGCACAGGTGTGTATTTTTATTGGAATTTCACTTCCATTTCCTTTAATAAATCTGTTTTGCACTAGGTACAAAAAATTGTTCCTCTCAGGACCTTAAGGACAAAAATGTCCCCATTGAAACTGCTATTTTTAATCGCAGTGCCATTTAACTGTAAAATGATGCCATTTTTGTTGATAGGCTTTCATTATATTGGCAAGGCTTTAAAATTAAATGTTTTATTATTTTTTACCAGATGGTGCCATTTTTTCAAGTTTGACCTATAAAGAAAATACTGGCTTTATTCTTGTTTTCTGCTTCTGCATATTATAGAGCCAATTGGATAAATAATGCAGCTATAATTGTGTGGGTGTGTTGGTAAGGATGTCAGAGTGTGGTTTGCATGCGTGTCATAAAAAAAAAAATTTGTGTGTGTGTTCTTGTAATATTTGAGAGAAGAACTCTACTGCAAATCACAAATCCAACCACTGTGTGCACCAGCAGAGTTTTGCTGGCATCTAATGGGGAAATGTGGTACTGCGCCCAAACAAAATCTTACTGACAGCTCATTTTTTGAGATATCAACCTCAAATTTGGAACACAACTTGTTTAGATTTATGGCTTTGATTTTCTAGCAGGTATAGAGTTCAACATGTTTCATAAAATATATATTTTATATAAAACATTGTTCATAAATCATTTTCATAAACCTAAAACATCTAGAACTTTTTTTTTTGGTTTCACTTTTTAAAAATGTTTTACTTCAACAATAATCTGCCATGGGTCTTCTTTAAAATGAGACCAAACTTAACTCTATGCTCCCAAGCTTCACATTTTTATGACCTTTTTGTCCACTATGGACCTGTGTAACTTTTTTTAATTGACGCACACGGGTTAAACAAAGTAACAGCTCAGCCGCTGCGCATCTCCATTCAAACACAGCGGTGTTTCGTTTATGAATGAACTCTGTTTTTAAATGAATCTAGTGAGTCAGTGATTCATGATTACCCATTCATAAAGACGTCACTTGCTTCATTCCTGAATGAATCAGCCGTTCGAATGAATCAATTGAATGAATGATTCAGTGATAAAATCAGTGACTTGCCGCCACCTGCTGGCAGTTTTAGTTTCATTTTTAAAGTATCTTTTCAGTTATTTAAATCTTTTAATATTTCTGTATTCAACATTTTATATTTAAAACTAAAA